TGTGTGTGTGTGTGTGTGTGTGTGTGTGTGTGTGTGTGTGCATATCAATGCTTCAGTATGCATGTGACTGCTCGGTTGTTACATTGAAAGCTATTCTTGGGCAGAAAAGTGCTTCAAACAGCTTCAACGTGCAAATACAGTAAATCTAGGTTTGGGTTTGTTGACACCTTCAGTCGTTAATGTTCGGTTTATGAATATTTGGCTTGCTGCTCCATGAATAATAGCCATTTTTATGTGTGTGTTGCATTAGTTATTGCTGTTGTATGTATGTGTTAGAGAGGGGGGGGAGGGACAGGCTCCACTGCTCCAGCTTTAATTGTGATCTTATTAGTCTCTGGTCAATACACCATCGCATCCTGACATTAAAGAAAAAAAACAAGTGCCCCTCCTTCCTTTCGTTCCTCTTTCCATTCTTCTCCAATCCCTGACTTTTCCCCCTCATCTCAGTTGCACTTCACTTCACAAGACAAAGAGTGTCCGTCTGACTCTCGGTCCTGTGGTGCTTTGTGGTGGATTGCTTTGACCGGGCCTGCTTGCATAATTGAAGGAAACTGATGAATTTGGATAATTCCTTGATTAGATTGCGCTGCTCGGCTCGAATACAGAGCAGGGGTCACACTGATGCATTAAGATTTTAAAGGGAATATTAAAATGATAAATGAATAGATGGAGTGGGTACACAAAAAGAAAGACGGGCAAGCGTTGTTTTTCTCTTTGCCTCGGCAAAGAAACGGTGTTTATGGACAAACAATTATGTAAATGTGAAGAGCTGATTTGAAGTATGACTGCATTTGTCCACGATAGACAGCCCTGTGTCTGATAAAAGAGATAGCGGGGTACAGATGCAGTGGCTGTAACTCAGTTGAGAGATTAAGGGAGTAATTCTGTCATTGCTGAAGGCGGTTTCTTTGAGATAATGGCAGATACAGTGCAGAATCTCCCTCACAGGAAAAATCAGATGCAGTGCAGTATCTAACAGCAGAATTGTGAATGTAACACACCTTGATACACATGAACAAACACACCCTCTTTTTCGCAAAGACATATTCACAGACAGGTATTGATGGTGTCTTGTGTACTTTAATCACCTCAGTATCCAGGGATCGCGTTCTCAAGCATGCTCTGTTTTTTCATTTGATTCAACAAACCCTCCTTTTCTTTTTTCTTTGTCTCCCTACACTCTTAATAATCCATGTCATATGTCACGCTTATGTGTGTATGGTGTGCAAGACCGTTTGCGTGTACATTTATTTGCAAATATGTTCTGTGTGTTTTTAATGTCCACACTATAGGTACGACCAGGGAGGATACGCCATCGACAGCCAATCCCTGACTGAGACGAGGTCAGTGGGCAGCGGAGCAAGGACGAACTGGAAAACGCTGAGCGACGTCAAGAATGAAAAGCTGGGACACGGAGAGAAGGTGCAGTGGATGCATACACGGCACATAGCAGTGCGTGCACGCAAGGCACATAGCAGTGCGTGCACG